AGGAAGCCATCAGCCAAATATGAAGATTCTATACCTTTTAGTTCTTTAGAAGAAGTCGTTTGAAGTTTTTGACATATTTGACCCCTGTGACCTTGAAAACAGGTCAAGGTCATTTTCGTTCTCAAACTTTGTAGGGCTCCTACCAACGAAGCTTTCAGCCAAATATCATGACTCTAGGCCTGTCCGTTCTTCAGAAGAAGTTGTTTAAACGAAAAGTTGACGGACGACGGACGCCGCGCCACGGCATAAGCTCACTTGGCACTTCGTGCCCAATGAGCTAAAAACCACTTGCACATCACCAAACATGATGCCAATGGATTTTGCTGAAATATCACTCCATAATTTAGAAATATCACAAAAACTAAAGATAGGTTACTTTTATTTTTTTATTCTCAATATAAATCATATTAATTACCTAAATCTAAAGTACCATACATCGTGAAAACAGTCACAGATTTCTTATGGAACTCTTCCATAAGGATGATATCTATTAACACAGGGTAGCAAACATCTTTAAAAGCTCACACATTAGTTTTCTATCGCCCTCTCCCCTTGCCCCTCCATTGATCATTAAGATAAGGACCTTTCTCGTTAACTACCTGTTTTGGTCTGTTGTAGTAGAGTTGGGGTAGAAGTCTGCTGAAATCATCGTCACAGGCAACATGCTGGGAGGTCCGAACATGAAATGACCTGTTAAGGGAGACAACCACTTACAAATGTAATATAACACTCAGAATGTGACTTCAGATTACAATAACTCTACATATACTGCAACCATTTGCTGTGCAAAATATTGGCATTAATGCACAGAAGATTTCTAATTAAAAAAATCCCTTACTACTTGTATATATCTCTTCAATATTATTTCACATTAAAAGAATGAAACACAAATCGATGCAAATTACAAGTTTAAAGTACAATGGATAAATAAATAAGGCGATCCAACAGTCCTAAGGTCGAAAATGCAGCAGCGTTCTAGGGCAGATCTGGGGATGGATTCCCTAGATCTAATAAAGCATAATGAAAAATAAAGGTTGATCAAAATCTTCAAAGATGGTGAGCATCCTTTATCAGAAGTACAATGGGTCACGCAGAAATGAATCACATGGATCAGATAACTTCAGGACCCGTTGTTATGACTTATAAATGAGGAAAAAAATAAATCTCCAAAGAACAAAATTACAGATTACGGATATTAATAAGGTTCTCACTTACTTGGCGTAATCCTTCAGGGCATTGATGTCAGCCTTCAGGACATGCATAATGGCAGCTTTCTCCTGCATCACAGTGATGCTGATGTCTTCTACAACTGCTTTCAGAGGCTGCTGGTCAGGTAACTCTTTTACAGGATCATGGCGCTGCAGCCGACTAATGATTTTTTCTGTTGCTAAGGAACAAAAGGTTATTACTTAAGGATACAACATTAATTAGTGTGGCCATATATAGCGGTACTTCGAAAAAAAATACTGCTAGAAATCCTGTTAAACAAAAATACCCTCAGTATTTCCGCTTTGTTTACCTGTCGATCCCATCTTTGCTTTTTAACCTGTAGACATTTTCCCTTGTTTTGTTACCTTCTGTCCTCATATGACCATGGCTGTTGTATCTCCCTAGGTACCCGTCCTCATATGACCATGGCTGTTGTATCTCCCTAGGTATCCGTCCTCATATGACCATGGCTGTTGTATCTCCCTAGTTACCTGTCCTCATATGCCCATGGCTGTTGTATCTCCCTAGTTACCTGTCCTCATATGACCATGGCCGTTGCGAGGACATAAAACCACAAACAAACAAACTGTTTTCTTACCTGTAGGTATCCTCCCTGTTTCCTTGGTAACGGTGTGTTTCACCTCTGAACCCAGCAGAGATGTGTTCCATTCACTGGTCAGTTGGGCCAGCTCAAATAGCACCCTGTCATGGTCAACTGTCTCCAGCCATGGGTCCTTGGAATAAAAACATTAAATACTATTGAGAATTTGTCCACATGAGTATTCTGTAAACAGTCTTTTTGCTTTTAATATGTTGTTTTTTATTGCAGAATTTATAATTCGATATTGATCCAATGCACAAAATTAACATCTTTCCTTGACTGAACAATTGTCTCTTCCCTTCTAGATCAAAAATGGTACACACCACTTGGTTCTGAAACAGCAGGTGGAGTCTATCTGACTGATACTGTGGAGGGAGAGCAGGTAGGTAAAGATTAGCATCATGTAACATTGGTTCCTCGGTCCACAGCTGGAAGGTTTGATACAGTCTGAAAAGTTCAAATTTACAAAAATCCAATGTCCAGTCAACGGTAGTTTTCATAAAGATCAGCGAAGTTCAGCATATTAATTATTTTAATTTATATCGACCAATTTCAATATCAGGCTTATAACAGTATTTAAGTATTTACTACAGTTTTATGGAGTTTTTAATCTTTCTATTAATTATATAAATACAGTACCTATGAATTTTGGCGCAGAACTGCTAAATTACTTAAAATTAATTTATTTTTACAACAATTTGAAAACAAATTCTCTCAAAATAATTTAATCACTTGTATTGTCCCAGATGGAAGGATGCGGGAGATCTAAATATGGGAGGAAACCACAGTACCCAGACAAAAAACCCACGTAGTATACGTAGCAGGAGACCTAAGTATGGGAGGAAACCACAGTACCCAGACAAAAACCCACGTAGTATACGTAGCAGGAGACCTAAGTATGGGAGGAAACCACAGTACCCAGACAAAAACCCACGTAGTATACGTAGCAGGAGACCTAAGTATGGGAGGAAACCACAGTACCCAGACAAAAACCCACGTAGTATACGTAGCAGGAGACCTAAGTATGGGAGGAGACCACAGTACCCAGACAAAAACCCATTTAGTATTTGAGCAGGAGACCTAAGTATGGGAGGAAGCCACAGTATCCAGACAAAAACCAACGTAGTATACGTAGCATGAGATCTAAGTATGGGAGGAAACCATAGTACCCAGACAAAAACCTACGCAGTATACGTAGCAGGAGATCTAAGTATGGGAGGAAACAACAGTACCCAGACAAAAAACCCACGAAGAATACGTAGCAGGAGACCTGAGTATGGGAGGAAACCATAGTACCCAGACAAAAACCTACGTAGTATACGTAGCAGAATACCTAAGTATGGGAGGAGACCACAGTCCCCAGACAAAACCCCATTTAGTATTTGAGCAGGAGACCTAAATATGGGAGGAAACCACAGTACCCAGACAAAAACCCACGTAGTATATGTAGCAGGAGACCTAAGTATGGGAGGAAACCACAGTATCCAGACAAAAACCTACGTAGTATACGTAGCAGGAGACCTAAGTATGGGAGGAAACCACAGTACCCAGACAAAAACCCACGTGGTATACGTAGCAGGAGACCTGAGTATGGGAGGAAACCACAGTATCCAGACAAAAACCTACGCAGTATACGTAGCAGGAGACCTGAGTATGGGAGGAAACCACAGTATCGAGACAAAAACCTACGTAGTATACGTATCAGGAGACCTAAGTATGGGAGGAAACCACAGTACCCAGACAAAAACTAAGGTAGTATACGTAGCAGGAGACCTAAAATTGGGAGGAAACCACAGTACCCAGACAAAAACCAACGTAGTATACGCAGCAGGAAACCATAGTACCCAGACAAAAACCCACGTAGTATACATAGCTGGAGACCTAAACATGGGAGGAAACCACAGTACCCAGACAAAAACTAAGGTAGTATACGTAGCAGGAGACCTAAAATTGGGAGGAAACCACAGTACCCAGACAAAAACTAAGGTAGTATACGTAGCAGGAGACCTAAAATTGGGAGGAAACCACAGTACCCAGACAAAACCCACGTAGTATACGTAGCAGGAGACCCCAACTTTAGCATGATTGAACCTGGCGAAAGGTGATCCACTGCTCCACCACTCTACCCACCTTGATAACAGTATACGTAGCAGGAGACCTAAGTATGGGAGGAGAACACAGTACCCAGACAAAAACCCACGTAGTATACGTAGCAGGAGACCCCAACTTTAGCACGATTGAACCTGGCGAAAGGTGATCCACTGCTCCACCACTCTACCCACCTTGATAACTAACTCAGTCCATTTTGCTATTAGAGTTCTAAAAATTATTGAACTTTTTTTACTTAGACAGTTTTATGTGACTTATCAGCATGACTGCTAATATAAGACTTACAACATTCTGACATAGTAATTTCCGAGTCAGTACTTGCTATTGGTAGGTCATTAATAAGTCCTGCCCTGTATATTAATCATACCATTCATCTTGGGAATATGACCTATAGCTTATTAGTATGACCTCTAACCTACGACCTATTAAGTATGACCTAGTTACCTTGTGAGTTGTTGGTGGAAGTCGCGCCTCGGCAGGAAGGATTGGTCCTCTAATGTTGACTTCTCATCACCTGTTTCCTCTCGCCTTTCCTCTATCAAATACAACATCATGGTGTCAGGTAACATGGTCATGATAACATCCATTTACCTGATGTCATATACTGGAAAAGAATTACTCTTTTCCGTCATTTGTTAAGTTCCAATAAAATGCACGGGGAATAATTGCTCCTGATCATGTGGTTTCATAACCAGTAGTGTTGGGATTAGACTAGTATGGTTTCACTGTTACACTAATAAAATCAAGCCTATTACAGTTGCTTTTGGATTAAAAAGGGATATTTACCGGTTGCTTATTATATGAGCCGTCACAAAATTTAACATGCACAACATGCTTGCCTCCTGTCAGCTATTATGTTCAAATCAGTCTCAAAATTAAACACTGATGACTAGAGATCAAGGGGAACCTACATATTAAATTTAAGAAAGATCTCTCATGTTCTTCCCGAGAAACATTCACAGTCAAAATCCAAGATGGGCACAAGTCAGCCATTTTGTTTATCCTCAATCTAAATAAAAATGGGCACAACTACAGACCAAGGGGAACCTACATATCAAATTTGAGAAAGATTTCTCCAGGACTCATGGGAAATAGCAATAACAAACATTCACTATCAAAATCCAAGATGGCCGCCTATCGACCAGTTTGTTTATCTGTTTGTTTAACGTCCAACTCGTTCAACTGTGTAAGTTGCGATAAATAAGTGCAGCCTTAATTTCAGTATGCAACAATACAAAATTTGGCAAGTGAATGGTGACAAGAGTATGTGAGATATGCATTAGAAAAAGTGATACACTGATTGACTGGCAGACAGACGAAAAGCAATTATATAGCCTCTTCCAGTAGTACCAGGGTTTATATACCAGTTCGCGGGATCTGATTCACAGTATCTGTCTTCAGAGAATCTGTATAACTTACCAGCCCTGTTGGACTCTGCCTCCTGGTGCTGTATCCGAGACTGGTAGTTCATATGATAGTCCACTCCTTCCTTCAGTTTTTTCTTCATCTTCTTCAGCTCGGAGGTATGCTTGCTAACGTCGTAGAACTTCTCCCCAACACTGGCTCGCTGCTGCATGCTGTCAAAACACAAATGATCCTGATTATGATATGGTACACTAGGTTAAATGTTCTGTCATAAACCACACCTCCACATTAAGAAGCTGAAGGAGCATTAAGATAAACGATACCTTCCATGTTGCCTGTAATTTCTGTTAGAGTTATACCCCTTCATTTCTTTTAAGATAAAGGATACCAAAGCACAAATTGCAATGGTGCTGAAGAGTTTGATTCCATGTAAGATTTAGAAGTCAGTTATTGCTTTTTATGGAGACGAGATTTAATCAAAGGTAAGAGAAACTTAAAACATAGTCTGTAAGTAAAACAGATCCTGGATACCTACCTGACTTGGGATACCATCCGACCGACAAAGAGGCCAAAGAATCGTTGCCAGACGAGAGGTGCCATGGAGTGCTCCACATCCATATCCAGGGCCTGACGCCCCCAACGGTAGATATTCAGGCTGTGCAACCCCGGGGAAACCTGTAGCTTGAGTTTGGTCACAGCTTTCTGTATCGGGTAAAGAATATTTTTATTAGAGCATAATTATTAAGATTTATCTAACTATTTGGCCATGAGAAGATTAGTATCATATAAAAGTCATGTCATCTCCACAAAACATGTTTTTCTGGCATGAGATTGGGCCCAAAATAACCATACAATTGCTGGAAAGGTTCAATTCCTTTCATACAATAAATAACTCTTTTATTTATGATATTACATAATTACATAAATTACATGCCATTTACTGTTTTTCTGTGTGATAATATTTTGTGAACTAGAAATATGATAGAATGGCATGCATGTCCTTCAATTTGTTTACTTGTTTTTTTTAATTTATATGTTTTCATGTTCACTGTAGTATTTTGACTGAAGTAATTTGTAATATATCATGCTTTTGATTGCCTTGTTGAAAGCAGTAGTAGTTGTTTAAAGACATCACAAACTGTCAATCCCACAACCTTCAGGGCCCACCACACCAGATACCCCTTGATCAAATGTGGTTTTCATTTCAGTAATAATTACCATAACTTTAGTATGCATATACAATACCTACTTCCATCTTTGTAGCCCAAAAACAAAAAATTCAAATATCCCTACCTCCCTACCGTGACGTAACCACTATCTCGATGACAGAGCCACGGAGTGATCTCCCTTCCTCAAACCCCGTTTTATGGAGCCTAAAGGCAGCCAGGATGAGGAGGCAAGGGGAGGAATACAGGGTGGGACTCCATAAAGTTATGGTAAGTATTACATCATGAAAATTGGTTTTACTTCAAAAACCTCAATTTCATTTCAGTAATAATTACCATAACTTTAGTATGCAAATTCGTCTTACCGTAGTGGAGGCTTCGAATCCAGGCAGACCAGGCTGACGGAACAAACTCGAGACATGCTCAAGGTAGGGAAAA